GGTAACGCGCCCCGCCTCCTCATTCACAACTCTAAGCACAGCGTAGGCACCAAAGGCCAGCAATGCTTTCGCGGCGGGAATGGTGCGTAAGCACTCCGCCAGGAAGCTACGTCAAGTGAAATGTGCAAACATGGAGTAGGGTCACCAACTTCTTTTCGCCATTCACGATACAGTGAGCCAATAGGAATGAGAGCCTTAGCTCCTCGTTCCCAACCGGCGGGTGGTAGAGTGTGGCAATGGAGGATGCCCAGGGGGAACCTTAGTTCCCTCTGTTGATGTCCGACATTACCAATTTTGTACAAAGAGGTACATATACCATGCTAGGATAGGTCCACGGTCTCACCTGTTTCACACGGGCCTTGCGCGCAACAGAACAATGCTTTTGCAATGATGCAGCACTTCTCAATGTTCGGGCACACCCCGTTTTGGCACCTTTGTGTGCCGAAGGGTGCCGTGATGACCTCCCTTCGGGGGGGTGAGACTTTCGCACCCTTACCAGCAGGCTTTCGTCGTTTGCTATGGCCGCCACTGCCTGAACACTACCAACCACTATGCCTCTTGACTTGTATGTGCAACCAGTTGCAAGGGTTGTGCTACAAGAAAGGATTTTTCCACGGCATGATCAGCATAGCAACCACTGATCCAAATAGGCAAGGATCAGACCTGCGTTAGAGCATACCAATGCCCGGGATGCATTGTGACCAGATTTTTGCCACTCTATGCAGTGGTTGGTCACTGGTAATAGAGATGTAAAGTCCATTTGACGACTTCGTTGAGATTTCGCTAGAGCACAAACCCTCGCTGCCATGCTCATCTTTCGTGAATTCAGGCCCATAGATAGTCAGCAGTCAGCGTCTCACTTGTCTCACCCTAGCACAGAGGAAATATTACTTGATGGTGGAGACTCGGCCTGTGGGCTGTGGTTGGTTTTGTTTTGTTTGTTGTTGGGTTGTCTTTGTCCTTTTCTCCACCATCTGACTGTATTTCCCTTCCTTCAATGATGACCTGGGCACCATGCCCACACGGCGTCCGTACTCGTGGAAAAAAAGCCCAGCTCTGTGGTTACAGTTGCGAATGCTGTGTTTCAAGGATGTTATGCACTTACCACAGTGGTGATGCCAGGGTGCCTATCCTTGGGTGCTCGACTTTTTGAAGAATGTTGTGCTCTAGAACAGGTGGGAGTGCTCACAGTGCGCCCCTGCAGATTAGCCTGTGATGCCACAATCTCACCCTATGCCTTTGAAGGTTGCATAAGGCTAGCGCAAATGGGTCTTCCCCGGACCAGAGCCACTACCGGGATTCAAGAACTAACATCCCCACCAGAAGGATTGCCAACGGGGTGCTTCCATTCGTCAGGCATTGAAGACATCCACCTTCCGCAATCAACTGAGTTTATAGGTCATAAGGCCTTTGCGCAATGCCAGCAATTAATTGCCATTGACCTTTGACACACGCGAGTGAGAATAGTGCAAGTGCAAGTATTCTCACACTGTCGAGCCTTGGCGCAAATCACCCTGCCAAAACATCTTGCAGAAATAGGCGCTGAAGCCTTTGAAGCTTGTGTTTCGCTTTGTACAATAGCACTTCCGCCGTATGTAAGAAGCATTGGGCACCGTGCCTTTGCGGAGTGCAGCAGTCTGACATGTCTCACACAACGCAGCGACAGAGTAGGCCAGCACGGCATCCAAGTTGCAGCTAATGCCTTCGATGGGTGTCAGGCCCTAGTCGTTCCTGGAGGAATCTGTGGTTTGGCAGTTTAGGGGGAAAAAAACCCCTTCAACACAGTTTACTGCATTGGTTCTGATTGTCCGGTTCGTGCTGGCGGCTCCTTTTGTTCCTCTTCGATTTGGTCGCATTCTGTCGCTTGGATGGGGTTGGAATGGTCCATTGACCCGTAAAATGCTTCAAAAGCTGATCCTGTACGTTCAGTATACAGGACCTCCATGTCTTGCAAGTATTGCGAGTGGCAAAACAACCCGACCCTACGACACCACTCCGCCTCCGTGATAGCATTGTGCTTTGGGAGCGCATAGGGCAGCTCTACTCTGTCCTTGAGGCCAGCAGGGTATCCTCCCTGATAGTATTTCTGGAGCAACTCTTGAGGGGTGGAAGTCAGGGTCCCTTTTTTGGCAAGAAGCGGCCAGTTTGGCCTTGAGAGAACCACCGCTAGTCCTGTGAGGAGCCATCTGGAGATGATCTCATACTTGTTGCCAATGGAACGAGCTGCATATGTGTCTTTAGCTCGGAGGAGGAGGCTTTGCCTGAAGGAGAAACACCCTTGTCCGTCCGGCGGTACATACTTGTCATCGTCAACTTCTTCTGTTTCTTCTTCCACTTTCTTTGCACTATCGAGTGCGCCAGAATCGTCTTCTTGCTTTGTCAAAAGGCTTTGTTTGGGTGGGGGGTAGCACAGCTTGCCGTACGTCCGGCCACACTGGTACCTCAATTCGAAGAGTGCTCTTGTAGGTAGATTGAAAGGAGACAATTTGGCCCAGGTTCCCATCGAGCAGACCTTGCTCATAAGCAACAGCTTGGGTTACTGAACTGCCAGAACATCGTCTCCTGCAAAGCAGCTGACTTGGGGATCATTGAGGGCGGCGTTTCACTTAACCCCTAATGATTTACTGTTGTATCTTTGAGGGCGGCGTTTTCACTGCTTGCTTCCTGATTTGACTTGGCGTTTTTTCTTAATGCTTGGTCTGAGATCAGCTGTGTCTGAGATCAGCAAGAACACCATTTTTGAGCACGGTGGTTGTTTTTTCTTAATGCTTGGTCTGAGATCAGCTGTGTCAATTTTTGAGCACGGTGGTTGTTTTTCTTCATGCTTGGTCTGAGATCAGCTGTGTGTGAGATCAGCGAGAACACCATTTTTTACTGTGGTTGGTTTTTCTTAATGCTTGGTCTGAGATCAGCTGTGTCTGAGATCAGCGAGAACACAATTTTTGAGCATGGTGGTTGTTTTTTCTCCATGCTTGGTCTGGTCTGAGATCAGCTGTGTTTGAGATCAGCGGGAACACGATTTTTGAGCACGGTGGTTGTTTTTTTTCTTAATGCTTGGTCTGAGATCAGCTGTGACTGAGATCAGCGGGAACAACATTTTTGCAGAGCCTCAAGTCGCTGATCAAGGCCCACAGGTGGATCTCAGACAAGGCTGATCTCCAACTACTGTGTAGAGCCTCAAGTTCTGGGGGCAGCAAAATGGGGACAGGGAACTTGGGACAGGGAACTGGGGACAGGAAAGTGGGGGCAGGGAACTGGGACAGGGAAGTGGGGCAGGCAACTGGGGGCAGCAAACTGGGGACAGGGAACTTGGGACAGGGAACTGGGGGCAGCAAACTGGGACAGGGAACTGGGGGCAGGAAACTGGGACAGGGAACTTAGGCAGGGAACTGGGGGCAAGCAAACTGGAGACAGGGAACTTGAGACAGGGAACTGGGAACAGGGAACTGGGGGCAGGGAACTGGGGCAGGGAACTGGGGGGCAGGGAACTGGGGACAGGGAACTTGGGACAGGGAACTGGGGACAGGGAACTGGGGGGAGGGAACTGGGGCAGGGAACTGGACAGGGAACTGGGGGCAGCAAACTGGGGACAGGAACTTGGGACAGGAACTGAGGACAGGGAACTGGAGGCAGGGAACTGGGGCAGGGAACTGGGGGGCAGGGAACTTGGAACAGGGAACTGGGGACAGGGAACTGGGGACAGGGAAGTGGGGACAGGGAACTGGGGACAGGGGACTGGGACAGGGGACTGGGACAGGGAACTGGCGGGCAGGGAAACCGGGGACAGCAAACTGGGGGGAGGGAACTGGAACTGGCGACAGAGAACTAGGGGCAGGGAACTGGGCTGATCTTTGACTATTGTATGTAGAACCTCTCAGACGAGGCTGATCTCCAACAATGTAGAACCTCTATGCACCGTCTTTTGTTTTCAAGGAACTCCAACCTCCTCCATCAGAGTTGCCCAAAAAAGTAGCTGATACACCCTTGTGTCTTGATAGTATCCATTGTTCACCCTCCGATGAGCCATGTTTGAAGCTTCATTTGCAGAAAAGAAGAAGGACTGCAGAAGCTGAATCTGGCCTCCAAAACCCTCAAATTCCCTTGGACCAATTTGCTTCCCCCAGCAGTAATTCGAATCGTATGGAGTGTCTTCGGGAGACGAACTTCATTGAGGCTCGTACAGTGAACAAAGGCAAATTCTTGTATTTCTTCGGTTTGTGTGTTCGAAAGGTCAAGATTCTTGAGCAGATGGCAGTTGTCACAGGCATGCGCTTTGATGACTTTGAAACTCTGCGGGAGCGTTAGTGTAGCGATCCCTGTTGAGCTGAGACAACCTAGAGCCAACTCCCTGACAGTGGGTGGCGACAGCAGCTCGCTCGGGGGGACTCTCGCGCAGGGTCAATTCGGCAAGGTTGATACAGCCTCTGAAGAGGTAATGCCCAAACTTGGTGCAGCTGCTGAACCGATTGGCGTCATCTTCAGTGGTATAGACCCACTGCAGTGAGCAGCGCTCGTCAAAGGCTTTAAAGCCAAACTCTCGGCAACCAGGAGCAGTGACACTATTAAGCAGTTTAGCTTCGAAATGCGTTGTCAGAGATGCTAACAACTGTGGACGGCAGGAATTCACTGCAATCCTTGAAAATGATGCAGTATTCCTTACCCTGTTGCAGTCTGTCCCAAATCGGGTCCTCCAAATAGGTCTGGCCAAGTGCAAAAATTCGATCGAGCACCCAAACACGTTGAGGTCAGTCACGGAAATGAGGTAATCCATGACATGATCCTCCAAGTCCGCAAAACGGTCGAATTTGGCAATGCTGAGAGAGACATTAAGCGTCACTTCCGACAGAGTAGTTAGCACCAAGCAACACTCCATCGCCGGCTCTCTCTCCGCGGGGGTGCTGGCTCCAGAAGATTCGGCA